AGTATTGAAAACGAACAAGATTGATATACATATTTGCTTTTTTTGTATATGGTACGAGGTTTATAGATGAAAGTTACTAGTTCAACCATAAAATCACCTAATAGATGAATAATGCGGAATTAAATTTGTCAATTAAAAGCAATAATTCACTTTTAAGTTGTTCTAGATGTTTAGTCAATCAAGTCAAGTTATCCTACGTTGAATTGTCACTATAAATAATTAAAACAATAAATAACACAAGATTTGATGACAACGAAAACTTTAATTTGGTAAAAAAAAAAAAAAAACTGGGACCAAGATATTAGTTTTCACTATAAATAATAAGAACTTAAAGTAGAATCCAACATAAAAAACCCACTAGACTCGCTGATCTAATTCCTACAATCTCCAAGATTCGCTAGAACGTGCTTCACTCACACATGTTCCCGATCTTCTGGAATTGTTTATCTTCTGTGGAACACCAAGAACATCTCGTTTTTGTACTCTTTCTATGCTTCTGGTTCAATATCACTCAATCTTCAGCAACCTTTGAAAGCTATTGAGAAAATACATTCCTAATGGTATCTAGGAAGTGAGTATTTGGATTATATGAAATTGATTGTTTTCCCCAAACTTGTAGTTGATTGATCTCAAAAATCAAGAGGTTAATCTAAATATTTTGATGTATTTTTTGGATCTTGGAATAATAATATAAGGATGTAAAACAATAATAAACCACCTTAAAAAATGTAATGACCATATGAGGAGTTTATGTAGTATAAGATAGATAAAATTCTTGAAAAACGCAAATTAAGGTTTTTCGAAAAACACCGTCACTCGAGCATCGGGTTAGAGATGACGAGTGAGAGGTGTGTCGCTCAAAGACTCATAATTCATCTATACAACCCTCCAAAAGATTCCTTGACTTTTTACAACTCTTTTGTAACAATCCTATTCTTTTACAATAAACCTTTTGTCTAAAAAATTGTCAATACAAATAAAAACCTAACAATAAATACCAACCCTTTTTACCTATGAGCACATAGGTAATTTTATTATTTAAAAAACTCTCAAAACAAACATATATTGGACTATTTTAAAGAAGTTACTAAAAATCACCATATACTAAATTTGCAGAAAAATACAAATTTAGCTTCCATAAAGAGAATAATTTTGTCAAAAGGAGGACAATAATTTCACAAAATTACAACAAAATATTGAACATAATGATGACAAGCAAGCCAAATAAACACACTTAAAACCACATGAAATCTCGAAAACATGACCGCCACTAAATCTTGGCACATATATAACTGCACCGAATTGAGTTGATGAAAAAGCAATTCAAAGTTTGGACACAAATTTCATGAAGCAAGTCATGAAGAATGTGAAATGTTATTTAAGAATTCCACCTGGATATATTGAAAAGCATGAACACGTTACATTACCCACAATTCCAAGAAAAATGAGTTTCAAAATAGACCCTTATTTTACAGTTGGTGAATGTAGTTAGACGCCAAGTGATGCAGCTATTATAAGGCTAATGTTGCATATTAAGGGCATACGGTTAATATGTTATACACTTTGTTAGAATTCGGGTGCCCAAATTCCTAGTTGAAGTAAATTGAAGAATTCTAATAGAAGTGCACATCAAGAAGAGTTCAAGTTTGGAATGTTTTTGGAGTTCTATGTCAAGTTTGGAGTTCTATTTTGGAAGCCATTGGGAGTTGGAAATTTGGTGTTTGGATGATTGGAAGAAGTTTAAAATATTTGGGTTTGTATAGTTCTAAGTTATGAAGATCAAATTTCAATGAAAATTAGGGTTTGACTTGAAGGAGGACTTTTGGATGGCAAAAGACACTTTTAGGAGCATTAACCCGAGGGACCAGTGCCATGGCGCCAAGAAAATAGCGCCGCAGCGCTACAATAAAATTATGTGTAGAAACCCCCGGCGCCTCGGCTTTTTTTCGAGGCCCAAATGTGTGTTTTTTCGCATTTTTCTTCGCCCACTTCGTTTTGGACTTAGTTTTTGGTATTCTACTTCATCAACAACTCTATCAAGAGGTTTTCAACTTCCCGTACACGTTTCCTATAAATACTAGGCTCTTCTATACAATTTTATAGTGTGAGATTTATGATTACTATGTTTTAGGATCATTGTAATATTTTCTCCCTTCTCCATTATTTTTGGTGTAATAAAATCTCCTAATTCATCTGACATATTCTTGTTTTCTTTTATTATTTTGTTCTTAATCAAAATACTTTATTACTTTGTCATATAACTTCAACATCTCAATTCGGTGATTGGTGTCACAACAAGTGGTATCAATCCTAACACACTTCTAGTGCCAAATATCGACCCCTTGTTTAGTAGCTGAGTTTAGCTTTGCCAGAATTGAGGATTACTCTTCCCAGTAATCAAATCAGCCAAATTTCTAAGTTCCTATAGCCCAATATAGTTACAATCCCGTTTAATTATCAAACTCATCTCGAGACCTCTTCAAACTCACCATGATCACCTAAATACTCGTTAACTTGTAGGTGTGGATTCATTTTTTATATCACAAGTAGGCATTTCAGACTCTTTGATGAAGATATTTGGGCAATCAGTCTCCAGAAATATAGATCCATTAAATAATATAAGATTGGTTAAATAAAGCCTAGGATCCCTGCACAACATATACAGTTTATACTTGACCATTTAAGAATTAAGGCTTCCGATTTTAAACCACAAAATATGGAAAATAACTTACAGTAGCCAGTCTTCAAAGAGCTATTTGTAAGCCCTGTAGATAGGACTAAACACTCTTCATTTAGTTTGCTCTAAACCAAAAGAGATAGGACTAAAATTTCTATAATCAAAAAAATCACGACAAAAGAAAGTAACAAAAGATGTGATCAACGTACCTATTAACTGCTCTGCATTACATTTGCTTACAATTCCTTTCATGCACTTGGTCTAAATTAATTGGGCATCAATTCTCTTCCTTTGATTAGTTAACTAAGAAGAGAAATAGCCTTTTACTTAATAATAGTCTACATCTTTTGTTTGAAACAGAATAATTGCTTCAGATAATGTATTGAAGTAATAATCAATTTGCGTTCAAAGCTATAAACAAGGAAGACATAACTCTAGGGCTCAAGATCAATGATATAATTTTCATTCTCCAGAACAGAAATCATCAGAAATTTCTTAAACAAAAGTGCAAAACTCGAACTGACAGTTATCATAAAATCCAAATCTAAAAACCATCATAATGACAGAGTCAACCTAAACAGATAAAGATAACACGAAGTACAAACCTCAGTTTTGAAATTAAATTACACCATTAAAATTCAATCACACAGTAAAATTTACACATCTACCACAAATAACAATGGTGAAGTATGAGGAAATCGAGAACAGAAGTCAATTTAGTACTAAGCAAGTTGATAGTAATTGTCGCGGAAACGATCGCAATCAATGAAAAAGATTGCATAGAGAGCTTAAATGATCCCAGTAATATAGCCTA